CTGCCTGAATTTCTTCCTCGCTGTGGCCACAGCTAGCAGCCTAAGAAACTGCACAGTATCGGTCGCCAGCGCCCCGTAGGTCTCGGCTGCTAGGCCGAAACACCCCACATAGTCAGGGCGGCCGTCATACAGGCGATGCTTCTTCTCGGAAGCTTCCTTGGCAGCCCACCCCGGTGGCTTCCGCACCCTGGGGTCCCGCTTCTGCAGCACTGGGTCGGTCACCGTTACATCCGTGACCCAGGTCTCCGCTGATTCCCTATCCTGTACCGCCAGGTCTGCCCTCTTGCGGTGGACCGGGGGGGAAAACACCGATGTCTCATGGAAGGTGTTGAAACCCGCCTCCCTCGCCAATCTCAAAGCCGTGTAGACCAGGGCGTTATGCGTCCTCACCACGTCCCCCCCTTCCCCACACCGGAGCAGGTGATTCGCCAGACTAGTATCCTTGATTTCCGAGTTGTTACGTTTGCAGGGACACTTGACCGTGACTGGTAGGGCCATCCCGAGGCGGGACCCGAGTGCCAACGAGAACTGACCAGGGGCAAATGTAAGGTCAGATCTCGTCGGCACTGCGTGTAGCCAATCCCCGGCCCCCACTCCCTTCAAACTCACTAGCCGTACCCCGTGCCCCTGGTCTTCCCCCGGTCTGTCGACCATAGTGTCGGCTAGCAGCTCCCTGGCCCGTACCGAGTTGATGTGCTTGGACAAGAGGAGCTGCAGGTTACCCTGCCCCTGGGGGCCTTCCCGGTAGGTCTGTAGTGCTGTCCGTGCCTCTGTCGGCAGCTCCTCCTCTAGTGCCACCAGATAGTTTGACGCTGGGGGCGGGGGGACCCAATCTCTGGATAGCACCGTCTCGGCCCGTGCCAACAGCTCCTGCTCCCGCAAGTTCATCTGCTGCAGCAGGTGATGCGCTGCTGTCAGGAATGCAATATACGCCACCGGTGCCTCAGAAACGGGATCAATGATGCTCAACCCCCCAAGGCGCACGGGCAGGGTCGCTTGACGCCACAAGAGGCTCTGTTCCAGCTCACTCGCAGGGATCCGTAGCTTGGCGGCTATAAGCGCCGCCCCTACCAACGACTCGCTCCACCCTCTCCACTCCTCCCGGTCCAACGTGATGCTTGGTGTGGTGCGAAGCAGGTAGGAGATCCTGCGGGAGATGCTGCGGGAGAGGAGTAGCAGGGCGTGTTGTGGGTGCAGCTGCGCTATAAGAGGGACAGGTGCCAATGCTTTGGCGAGCGCCTGACGGATCTCAGCAGTGCAGTACTCCGGCGTGCCGATGGGGCTGCCAAGCACCTTGATCCCCCCGGTGCTCATCCGTAATCCCTGTGGCAGTCCCAGCTGCCCCTCGTTTCCCTCTCGCGGTCCCCATGCCGATGACTTTGCCACGTTGCACCGTAGCCCGCGCTTTGCCAGCTCTTCGACGATGGCATCGAAGGCCTTGAAAACCTCCTCCCGCGGCCCTACCACTGTGATGTCGTCAGCGTACGCTATGACTGCCGCCCCTGGATGAGAAGATGCCACGCACGTTAGGGTCGGTTGAATCGCTGCTGCAAAAAGGAGAGGGCCGAGGGGATCGCCCTGACGCACGCCGCGGGAGCTCAAGATGTGCTCAACTCCTAGGGCCGGGTCAACTAGAAGGCGCGATGGTGAGTCGTACAGCAGCCCTACGAACGGCAGCAGCTGGTGCAAGTCCGAGATTTCTAGCGCCGTGAAGAACGCCTCCCGCTCAACCGAATTAAACGCGTTTTCTACGTCCAGCTGGAGCGCTACGTAGTTGTCATGTTCTCGGAGCAGGGCCCGTACGGAATGAATGACGCATTCGGTGCCACCAGGCACTGACACGCAATACTGGACCGGGAGGAAGAATTCCCGGATCGCTGGGGCTAACTCGCGTAGCGCCGCCTTCGCCGCGACTCTAAGCAAGGCCTCGCCTATAGCGATGGGTCGAACGCCCCCCCCTGGCTTCTCGAGTGCTATCAGCCGTGACGGGAGGAGCACGTCGCATATATCCCTTGTCTGTGAACTGTTAAGTAGCTGGCCGATGACCTTTGTGAGGAGCAGTAGGACTCGCTCGCTGCTGTGGGCCGGGTCCTTCAAGTGCTCGAAACAAGTGCCAGAGGGGCCCGCTCCAACTCCATTCGGGCACTTCGCTAGCACTTCGCGGAGATCGCCTGGGGCCAGATTCAATGACGAGGCAGGTACACCGGTGTGGTTGGTTACCCAGCTCGGAATTGGTAATTCCCCGACAGGTTGTTTCGCTTGTAAAGCTGCAAGTGTAGCAGGTGTTGGTTCCGCCAGCGGGGTCACTTGTAATGCAGACACTGCCTTGGAAATGTTGGCCTTCTTTATCAAGCCTTCTGCTCGCGCGCACAGGCCTGCCTCGTCTGGCTGGTGTCGTGACGGGGCTTCAGTATCGGGGATCGCGCATGCCTCACTGTAGAGATCGGCAAGATCCCCGAACCTGAAGTGGTGCAGCCGAGTCTCAATCTTGATCCAGCGGTTCCCGTCCACTGGCTCTGGTAGAGGTCGAAGGGTCAAGCAGGGTAAAAACTGCAGCACCGTCCACGCCCCCACACAGTCTGGTTTCTCAGCCAATCGCAACAGCGGGGCCAGAAGGCACAGGGTGTAGCTCTCCAGAATCTTTGGGGGCAACCGCCTCACCAGGAACAGTTGATCCGCACGCTGGAGTGGTGCGATGTCCCAAGTGCTGGCCAGGTGCCAGAAAGACTCATCCTTTGCCAGGTCAGCTGGCGATTTCTCGGATGGCGGTGGTGGCACAGCTGGGGCCTGTCCTGCTGGCATGCTGGGTGGTTGTGGCATGCCACCCTGCTCCGTCCTCCTCACTCGCCCCCGCGCCGACACATGTTGGTTCTCATCGTCGCCCAGGGAGACCAAATCCTCCGATGCCTCTGAGTGCGAGGGGATAAACTCGCTCCCATTCTGGGAGTTTTCAAAACCCTCCTCGCCCCCATTCACACACACAGGCGTAGGTGTGAAGAAAAACGAGAATGAAGAAGGAGGGATTGCACTAGCAGCAGTTGGCATACATATAGGAAACCCTAATTGGGTTGTACTCGCTATAGAGTACCCCACTGCAGGCTAGACAATTATAACATTCTGACACACCCCCATAGCCAAAGTGGGGTGTAATCAGCACAGTGGGCAAGCAGGCATAGAGCAGGAGTTCACAATAGGGAGCAAAGCTAGAGTTAATCACAGCGGGCAAGTGAGGAGGAGGAGGAACTGTGGAGGGAGAGAAGATGGGAGGCAACGACTGAAGCTGCAGAGGCACGGGCACAGGAGCGGCTGACTCAGTGGCTACCGAAGCAAGGGCGACGGACTACTGGAGTAACTGGCTCCGCGGCTATAGAAGAGCGGTAGGAGCAACGGACCCACTGGCGACTAGTGCAACAGGCTCACTGGCTACCGAAGCAAGGGCGACGGACTACAGGCGCTGCAGGCGACACGACGGCTACCTTCACACAACCTCCTCCAGCTGCCCCACACCCCTCCACACACACCCCCTGCTCAAACCCTAGTTCCACTCCCACAGGACCCCCCTTTTACACACCCCTTGCTGCACCCTAGGTTCACTCACACCCCACCCCCTAGCACCACTCCATCGACTCCCACACACCCACCCCCCTCAGCGGCAGCTGCAGCAGTGGGAGACAGAGGAGGAGGAGGAGCAGGGGAGACCACACACCCGCCACCCCCTACTCGCCACCCCCAAACCCTAACACAGGGCAGGGCGAGACGGCGGGTAGGGAGGTTACGGGGGGGGGGGGGGGAGGGGGGGGCCGACGCGCGGCCTCCCAGGGCGCCAAAGCAGGCGGCAGAAGGGGCGACGCTCGCCCCCCCCCCCCCGGATCGCCCCTCCCGTCGCCTGTCGAGGCGACCTGAGGGGGCCGCGTGCGGCCCCCCAGGGAGCCGCGACGGGCGACGGGAAAAGAGGGGGGGGCGGTGCACGTGCCCCCGGTGCGCCGCGACAGGCGACGGAGCATGGCCGGGGCGGGGCCGGGGCAGGGTCGAGGCAGGGCCGAAAGGGGCAGCGACGGGGCCGCAAGGGGCGGCGACGGGGCCGCTGGAGGTGGCGACGGGGCCGATAGGGGCGGCGGCGGGGCCGCTGGAGGCGGCGACGGGGCCGATAGGGGCGGCGACGGGGCCGCGAAGGGGTCGCGAGGGGCCTGAAAGGTCGGCGACGGGGCCGTTAGGGGCGGCGACGGGGCCGCAAGGGGCGGCGACGGGGCCGCTGGAGGCGACGACGGGGCCGATAGGGGCGGCGACGGGGCCGCGAAGGGGCCGCGAGGGGCCTGGAAGGGCGGCGACGGGCCGCTAGGGGCGGCGACGGGGCCGCGAAGGGGCCGCGAGGGGCCTGAAGGGGCGGCGACGGGGCCGCCGGAGGCGACGACGGGGCCGATAGGGGCGGCGACGGGGCCGCGAAGGGGCCGCGAGGGGCCTGGAAGGGCGGCGACGGGCCGCTAGGGGCGGCGACGGGGCCGCGAAGGGGCCGCGAGGGGCCTGAAGGGGCGGCGACGGGGCCGCCGGAGGCGACGACGGGGCCGATAGGGGCGGCGACGGGGCCGCGAAGGGGCCGCGAGGGGCCTGAAAGGTCGGCGACGGGGCCGTTAGGGGCGGCGACAGGGCCGCGAAGGGGCCGCGAGGGGCCTGGAAGGGCGGCGACGGGGCCGCGAGGGGTGGCGACGGGGCCGCTAAGGGTCGCGCGAGGGGCACGCCACGGGGCGTGCAGCACACAGAGTAGCAGCGGAAGCAGTTAGGTGGGCCCACAGGCCAGGAGCGTAGATGCTCTGATAGCATGTGAAGAAAAACGAGAATGAAGAAGGAGGGATTGCACTAGCAGCAGTTGGCATACATATAGGAAACCCTAATTGGGTTGTACTCGCTATAGAGTACCCCACTGCAGGCTAGACAATTATAACATTCTGACAGTAGGTACACGCTCCGGGCGGTCGTGGCGATCACGCCACGTGCCTGATCTCATGATTGTAGCCTCGCCACCCAGGATTGGAACTCCCCTCCCGCGTGTCCCTCCTCTTCCCCCTCTGCCTCCACGGGGGATCGCGGGGAGTACGCCAGCGCTGCCGCCTCTCGCGCTCTCCTGCGCAGACCTTAAACCCCGACCGGCCGGCACCCAGGGAGTCGCCATTGTCACTCGTCCTGCCCCCGACGGCCTGCCCCACACAATTCCCCGGCCTCTCGTCGAGCTACATGTTTCCCGGTGAGTTGCTTGCCGGGTCGTGGGTGATCCTTCCGTTGGTTGCTGCATCCTGCTTGGCTGCTCGGTTCCCCGATGTGCACGGTCAGCTGCCTCCGTGTTACCCCTCCCGCCGTTTCCCATTGCAGGCTGTGGTGCGGATGACAACAAACGCGCTTGCTCTGGTGGCGACTGCCCTTGCCGAAGCCAGCCCAGGAGGGGTCTCGGGACCCCAGGTCCCAGCCCTGCTCCGGGCCGCCTCGGCGCTGGCTGGGCGCGTAGCTTCACCTTCTTCCTTGCCGGTGCGGCGCCAGAAGCGGCGCCGATCACGGGACCCTCAACTCCATCCGCCGCCTGGCCGCGCTCCCGCATGTTTACGGCCGCGGCAGCAGCAGACATTCCGGCGGACTCAGCGGCAGTCGGCGCAAATGGTTCGTTCGGGGGTTGTTCTGGTTGCCTCGCTGCCTCAGCTACGACCGCCGCAATCTCCACCTCCCCGAGAGGTGACGGGGACACCGCCACCAATGGCGCCGGTGAATCAGCCGACCCATGCTCCACATGCGCCTCCTCCGCAGCCACAACCTCGTCCGCTGGTGGCGCCGTCGGCCCCGCAGCGGGCGCGGTTGAGTCGTCGTCAGAGGCGGCTGCAGGCACAGCAGCAGGCGAGTGCGCCTCCCGCCCCGTCCCCGTCGGATCCGCCTCTGCCGCAGCACCCTGCTCCCCCCGCCGCGTCAAACCTGACCCCGCAGCAGCAACATCCCCCCCGTAAATCAGTTTCCTCTGCTCCGGCCTCAACTGCGTCAGCCGCCGCCTCCTCCTGCGCCGCCAAACCCTCCTGTCCCGCCTGCTCCTCTTGCTGCCGCTCCTGCAGGCGCGCTGCCTCCCCTCGTCGAGCAGCGCGTTGTGCACGTGGGGACGTGTTTGACGCTGCTGTCGTACGTACTGGATCAGCTCCACGTGTGTTTGGCACGACAAGGCTTGGAGGTTGACGGGATGTTGCCCGCTGAGCGCTCTGCGGCGGTGGCTGCAGCGACGGAGATGCTGCACTATCTTCCCTTGATCGACCTCGTGCCGGGCGCCCCTGGTGCAGCGCTCGGGCCCGGACCCCGGGCAATGGTGAGGCTAGGTGAGTCTGCCCAGGAGGGCCCCCTCGGCCTTGTGTCAGCTGCCGCTTCCGTCCTTCGTTGGATAGACGGGAGGCTGTGCTGGATCCTCGCCGAGTGACTGTTGTTTTTCCCTTGGAGGCTCTGGTGGTGCTGGGCCTTGCCTTGGGCTTCCCCATGGCGGAATTCCCTCGCCTGGGGGTGGTGTTGTTGTTCTGCCCTGCTAGTGGCTCTTGATGTACCACATGCTGCTATAGGACTTGTGTTGCTGCTACCCTTGCCACCCCTCACGCGCGGCCGAAGGCCGCGCTGGCGAGCGGCGGCCGCCGAAGGCGGCCGGCGCGAGCCGCCGGATTTGGAGAGTGATCCTAACTCACCAGTGAATAATGAGCTCACTAGCCTAGATCCAGGGCCTTTATACTAAGGAAACAGGCCTAGAAATGGCTAAGGACTAGATCCTAGAGAAGAGGGGCCTAGAAATGGCTAAGGACTAAGCTATGCCATCTCTCTCTCTCTCTCTCTCTCTCTCTCTCTCTCTCTCTCTCTCTCTCTCTCTCTCTCTCTCTCTCTCTCTCTCTCTCTCTCTCATGGTCCTTGTATTGATATAGCAGCAAGGTACAAGCATGAAGTGTATGGATGTAACAAACAAACAAACAAAGCACCAATTCCTACTCACTATTCCCCTAGAGCTCCAAGATGGGCTCTACCACCGCAAAACAGTCCCCTAGGTGTAACTCTTGACCAATACCCCCTACAGGCGGGTTCTCTGCTGCTGCCGCCTCGCCCAACTTGAGTAGAAGACCCACTGATTGGGCCCTCTGAAGGGCCACTGACCATCGCTGCCGAAACTGGTGCAGGAACTTGGCGGCATAAAAGGATTTAGAGTCGGCGTTAAAGTGGCGCCGAGCCGCCGTGTCTGCAAGTAGCTTCAGGAAGGTTGGTACTTCCGCGCATGGGCAGCCATAGGTGTCGACTGCCAATGGGAAGAAGCCAACCGTCTCCGGCCGGTTGGCGTAATGCTGGATTTTCTTATCCGCTTGTTCCCGTGCCGCCCATCCCCTGCCTTTCTGCGCCTCTGGGTCCCTCGTGCTTATGGGGTCCGTGATGGTGACATCACAGACATAAACTGCCCCACTGCTTCTATCCGTCATGGTACAGTCGGCGGTTTGTTCCTCGATAGGGCAATGGGCGGCCGACTCGCCGTGAACAATGAAACATGCGTGCTGCGCCATGCTAATGCACGCATCTCGTAGCTCGTTGTGGGTGTTGATGCGGTGTTTGCCCAAGCCGCAGCGGAGGAGATGGTTCGGCAGGCGGGGATCAGTGATGGCAGTCTTGTCCGCGCAGTCGCAGTTCTTAGGGGTTGAAAAGGGGAGGACCAGGCGGAATCGAACGGCGTTGGCGAAGTGTACGGGGCCTACCCGTCTGGTGGGTTCAATGGGGATCGCGATCAGCCAATCGCCGGTGCCATACCCTGTCAGCGAAAACATACGCTGCGTGTGGCCTGAGAGTGGGTTCAGCCGCATGCGCCTGGTTGCCTGGACCTGTACAGCGTATCTGCTTCCGTGCACCTTTAGCCCGAGCACATGTTGTAGCCTAATATCCGATCACTCCAGCCGCTCCTTCTCCAGGATCTCGCGCGCGTCTAGTGGCAGAGCCGCTTCGCACTCCTTGAGCCAAGAATGCATCGGCGTGCTGTCGTCTCTTGGCAGCAGCATGTGGTTCTGAGCGATCGTCAAAGCATTCTCCGGTGCTAGCGCCAGGGAGGACAAGAACAGCGCCGCTTGAGTGAAACTTGCTGTGAAACCGTAGATCCCTTCAACGAGCGGGTCTGTAATGCCGATGCCACCCAGCGATGTGGGCAGCGACGCCTGCTCCCACACACGCGCTTGCTCAGTGCGGCAAGTTGGCATGCGGATGTCGCAGGAGGTGAGTAAGGTAGTGAGCAGGTCCCGACCCCACTGGCTCCAGGTGTCGCGGGGGAGTAGGTGGAGCGGTGTCGTTCTAATGAGATAGGCTACTCGTCTAGAAATGCATCGCGTGAGTAGCAGCGCGGCTACTTGGGGGTCAGCTCGTTCTATTAGTGGCAGCGGCTTTGTCATCTCGGCTAGCTGTTCGGTTAGGAACTTAGCTGTTCCGGCGTCCGTCCCCACGTAGCTACCCAGGAGCCGTACCCCGTCCTTTGAAACCGGCACCCCGGGTGGGAGTTGTGCTTGTGTGACTGTGATCGAGCTCCAGGCCGCACATTTCTGCGGATTTTGCGTCAGGCCCAGGCGTGCCAGCTTGGCTGTGAAGTCTGTGAAAGCTGCTACAGTGCACGAAGTGTCACCCAGGAAGGTGACATCGTCCGCATACGCCAAGAAGAGCACGTTGGGGTGTGCCTCTGTAATCTCACAGAGCGTGGGGTGTATTCCCGCTGCAAACAGTAACGGGCCTAGTGGATCTCCCTGCCGAACGCCCCGTTCACTTTGCAGCGGTTCGAAGTTGAAATCAGTGTCGAGGAACAGCTGTGACGGGTTACCGTAAGTCAGTTTTACAAATGGCTGTAGTGGCGAGAGTCCGGGCTCCTATAACGCAGTGGCGATGGCACGTCGCGAAATGCTGTTGAATGCATTCGAAATATCGGCTTGGAGGACCAGGCTGTCGGGACGAGCATCCAAGAATGCCCTGGCTGCGTGTATTACTGCCTCTGCTCCACCTGGCACTGCCACGCCGTACTGAATTGGCAGGAAATGTTCGCGGGCAGCTTCTCCCATGGCTATCAGGGCTGCCTTGGCTGTCAGCCTTGTCAAACATTCGCCTATCGCGATTGGCCGGGCTCCTCCCCCAGGCTTGGCCAGAGCTATGAGCCGTGACGCAGTCAGGATTTTTGCGACCGGGCCTGGCAAATTCCCTCCGAGCATGGTATTGACCAAGGTGTGCAGATGGGTGCTAACCATTCCGTTGGTGATCGCCGCGTCGCGTAGGTGCTCAAATGTCGTACCTGAAGGTCCGGCCCCCACCCCGTTCTCGCACCTTCCAAGAATCTTGGCGAACTCAGCATGGGTGATGGACAGTTTTGACTCTGGTGGCTCGGGCCAGGTCACTGCTTCGGGTACTGCTGGCGGGTGCTTCTGACGCAGCTCTTCCAATATTTCCTGGCTCGAGGTGCAGACGGGTGTTGACTCCAGGGCTAGCACGGCCCTGCGTAGGCTGCCACGTTTTGCCAGGCCCTCGGCTCGGCTGATGACTCCGGTCGTGTCAGGCTGGTGTCGTGGCGGTGGGGGTGTGTTGACCGCGTCGACCGCGTTCTGGTACAGCTGCCCCCATTCGCCGCGCTGAAAGGCTCGGAGCCGGGCTTTGACCCCCGGCCAGTTCGGTCGTTGTGGCGAGGTCTGGCGAAGTGTTAGGCGCGGGAGGAACAGCAACAAGCGCCAACCCTCCTCGGATTCAGGGTTTCGCGATAGGTGGAGTAACGGTGTCAGTAGCGCCAGCGAGAACAGTTGGCACAGATTAGGCGGTAAACGGCGTGTCAGCGAAGGCTGGCGTCTGTCGCAGAGTGCCGCGATGTCCCAGCTCGAGATGGTTGCGAACAGGTCTGCTCGCTTCGCCAGTTCGTCAGGGGAAAACTAGCGGGGAGTCGGAGTGGTTTGGCGCGTCGCGACATTGGTAGTAGCGGTCCGATTTCGTCGAGCGCGGCCCGTCCGCCCTGGCAGGATTGGGGTTGGAATTTCACCCGTTCGATTGACATCGGACGGTCGCTGATCCGCCTGTGCTGCTTGCGTGGCCGAGAGCCCTACCCTCGCTACCCCTCTTCTCGCTGCCTCCCTTGTACTGCCTTCGTCCTCGATCCCCTCGTCTTCGCTTGGAGGGAGGGATTCTTCCCTATAAGATGGGTCCCTTAACTCGTCATCCTCATTAGTTGCCTCCAGAGCCGTTAAAGCCCTACGCCCCGCCGCTTGATACCCGTTTTCCGGACCTCCGCCTGTCCCGCTCGTAACCTGCCTCCTGGCCCCGCTGCCTCCCCGCTCTCCAGATGGTGATTGCTGGTGCATCTGAGCCATCGCCAGTGCGCGCTGCCACCTAGTCGGCTGTGGTCGCCAAGCCTCAGTCGGGGCCCGGAAAGGCGACCATGCCGACGGAGCCCCCTGTACCGCCGGCTCCGACGCCCTCGACAACAGTCGCTGAAAAGACTCTTCCCCACGCACCCGCGGATCCCCTTGCCGTGTCGGGGGCTGGCCCGTCTGTTCCTGCGGCTGCTCCGTCCGCTCCGCCGGCTGCTCCTGTTCCCCTGGCCCTCTTCGTCGAGCCGTTGGTGCCTGCTCCTGCTGGGGGTGTTGCTGATCCCCCAGTTCTTGTCCCTGGCACGCCCGTTGCACCGCCTGCTTCCGTCCCCGACGTGCCTGTACCGGCTTCTGTTCCGTCGACAAAAGCGGCGTCCGCCACCACTGGCGGCCCGGCTCCGTCGGTTGCGCCCTCAGTGGCGGGGCAATCCGCGCCTGCTGTGGCGCCGGTGGCCCCGGCAGGTCAGCCGTTACGTCTCCCGTCGCCTGACCGCCGACCGTCTCGCCCTCATTCCCCCTCGCCCCACCAGGATCGCAAGTCGTCTCGTCGCCGTCGTGATTCTCCGCGGCGATACCAGCACCAGCCTCACTGGCCTGCTCGCCCCGGTGGTCAGGGGGACTGG